AATTTTAAACTCCCTCTTCTTTTTTTTTTGAACAAAGGATTAATAAAATTATCATGCCTGCGAAGCTAACCTTCATTTGTGTTATACACTCGGTTAGCGAAAAAGATTCTCTCAATTACGTAATAAGAGAAGCAATTGGTATAATCAAAAGAGAAGATAACGAAAGTTTGGATGTTAGAATAACAGCTTTTTTTCTGAAAAGTCTTCAATACCCAAATGGGTTCCTATATTAGTACCTGAAAATATATTAAGATTTATGGGAAAGTACACACTTGATGAAAACCCCTCTCATGATAAGCTAAAAGTAAGAAAATCTAACTCCTTTTTAAAAAAATAAAACAATAAAATAATAGAGAAGATATTTACTGTAATCTTTCGATAATTAGATAGTAGCAAACGCAGGAGATTTAATTGATATGAATTAAGAAAATTTTCTCATCAACTTTATTTTAACATTTGTAACAGGATTTGCAACTGAACCAGTTCAAAGTGACAACAAACTATTCAAAAGTATTAAGATACTCGTTACTGAATTCATCAAAGGTGGAAGCTCAGAAAAAAAATTCCTCATCAAGTGCAGATACCTCAAGTCAGATGAAAGAATTGACAAAAAACTTGTAAGAGCAAGAAAAAGCTCAAATTTGATGATTACAGGGGAAATACTTCGAAACCTACACCATTCAAAAAAGCAGACTGATGAACACAAGAAGAGATACATACCAAGACCAACTCGGAAACTGCGTCATTAAAAAGCTAAACCAATTATAGTATGACATCGATTCCTAAAAGCAACCAACAGAGAACTATACTTTTACCAATTATTACTCAAAACTATCCCAACTCGAAGCGAAGATGAACTAAAAATAGCCATCTGACATACCGAGACCATTACATCTCAATATTCCTAAACGCTACAGAAGGAATTTGATGAAATACATAAGATCGGACTGAACAAATTAGACGAATCATGAACCTGAGATACTCTGAAATTCTAGACTAACTACTATTAAACCTAGAAAGCATCATCCCAAAAAACATAGAGAACATCTTAAGAATTCAATTCGATTCCTTAAAAATCCTTCCACCAATACTCCCCGAAAACACCATCTACCAACTACCATACGATCAATACTCACTATGTCCACCCTCAGATCCTTTTTAGGAAGAAGAAACACATGAAAATACCCTTATTTCTTTATCACTGGGTCCACCGGAACAGGAAAATCCAACCTTCTCTACCTACTAATAAACTCGTTAAAAAATGACAAACTAAATTACCTCCTAATGGCACCCATTAGCATCACCACTCAAAATATAGGAGGAAGCACCATTCACTCCACCCTAAAATTATCTTCAACACAGACAGGTTTTCGTACTCTAGCACTTCATGATGATAAACTTAAAGACAAACTGAAAAAGATTGATGTAATAATAATCGATGAAATATCAATGGTATTCGTAGAACTCTTAAATTTCATCTCAAATATATTCGCCACTATCCACCAAAACACCACAGCCTTCGGAGGTATTAGTACCATCATCACTGGAAACTTAGCTCAACTACCACCAGTAAGTGGATCCTAAGCATTTAAATCCTCAACATGGAAACTATTCCACCCACTCATCCTACACCAACCTCAACGTCAACAAAGCCAGTCCGAATTTTACGAATTGCTACAAAACATACGCCTAGGCAACTTAACTGAAGAAATCTGAGAAAAGTTAAGGAACAAATACAAACAATTCGATCCCAACAGGCCGATCAAACTCCTACTCAACACAACAAATATAGTAGGATACCGTGAAACTGCAGACAAGATAAACTGACTAGTCTGCAACACCCTACCAATAACTCAAAACAAATTCATCATCTCCCGAGCCATCGACATCATAAACGAAGAACTCTGGGACCTAGACATAACAGAAAAATCCTTCAAATCAAAAACGAACCTACCATCTACCGTATGACTTCAACAAGGCGCAAGAGTAATGTACCTAAACAATTTCAAAGCAAGCTTCAACATCTACAATGGTACAATCGGAATCATGACAGACATCGACAAAGAGACAAACCTAGTCTGAGTCTCATTTAACGTATCAGGAGGAATCATAGACACAAACATCGAACCAATCACTAATTACTTTACCATCAACGGCAATCAAGCTAGCCGCTACCAGTTCCTAATCCAAAACTCCTACGCCCTGACCGTTCACAAGGCTCAGGGTATCACCCTAAATGACATCTCCGTAAGCCTAGACGATCAAATTTTCTCATCAGGAAAAGCATACATTGCACTAAGCAGATGCCCTAATTGGAATCACGTACAAATTTGCACACTCAAAAGAACTGCTTTATAACTGACCCAGACGTCATCACAGAATACCAAAGGCTCGAAAAAATACCCAAAACTCCCCTACCGATCTAACCATACTCACAACAAAAACAACAAAAAAAAAAAAAATAAAATAAAATAAAATCTCTCTCCACGTCAATAATTATCAAAAACATCAAAAAACTCTGACTACAAAACCTTCCCAACCCCTAAATCAAAAAAAAAATAATTAATAAAAAAACATATCCTCTAAAACAAAACAAAACAAAAAAAACTCACCAAACAGACAAAACATCACATACATCGTACACTTCTAACTTTACCGCCCTATTATACAATATTTAATAGATCCCACAAAAATCACATTCAATCTCTCCAATTCCTTCTATCCTTCAATTTAATCACGTAACGAAAAATAAAATAAATAAAAAGTAACATTTTTTTATCGATAATAAAAACCGATCAACAACTTTTTTAATATCATTATTTTTTTTCCTAAACTAATGAAAAAAATAAAATAAGACATAGCACAAGCGCAGACAGTCACGTAACACAAAAAACACAAAAAAAAAGAAAGCATAGCGCTTAAAATGCTTCACTAGTTTAATATAAAGAATTACTGTTTCTTATCCTATTTTAAATCATGAACAAACTTCAAACAAACTTCCAGTAGAACCAAGTCAACAAAGAAATACAGCCAACTGAAGTTCAACACAAATTTGAGGTTTATTTCCTTAAGACAAAAATACAGGATGTGGGCATATAATGTCAGCTAATTATTGAAAATAATGTGAAAACATTCGCAAAAACTTTTTGAATTGAGTGAGATCATAAAGTGGAAGGGTATTTTTCCACCAGTCTTTTGATTTTGCTATATAATATATCCAGGGGTTTAAATATCATGTGTTTAACCTTTATATTAAAACAGTTTATAAAATTATATTGTCTTCTTCTTCACTTGAAGAAGCTTCGTTATCTTCAAATTCAGCTTTTAAAAGCTGTAATCATAACGCATTAAGTGTTCGTTTTTACAATTTATATTAAAAGTCAATGAAACAAAATAACTGATCGATCTAATCAAAAAATTGTGCTCAATTATAGCTACAATTTTATTGGTTATTGATTTTGCTGATCTGGGTGATCCTATCTAGAAATGAACGAGCTGATAACTGCTATATCAGTATAAAAAGTAACATTACAGGAGGGGAGCTGTAAGTAAAGCAGTGAAAATAGCTGCGAATTCAGGTAATAAAGAGGAAGAAAAAGAAGATATAAAGGCAGAGGAAAAAGAAACTATTGGTAAACTGTGGTGAGTTTGAAGCCAAGCAATACCTATTCTTATCGAAAGAAGACCTAAATCTTGTAGGAAACTATCTATGTAAAA